AAAATATATATTCAGAAGAATTATTTTGATTATTATTATTAGAATTTTTTTTAAAAAAATTTTATTTTCACAAAGCACGACATGTCACGTTAAATCGTTTGTAACATATATGAATTGATCAACAAGGGGGTTCCAATTTTTCTAGATTCGATTTCCAAATTTGGTAAAATACTTGACTGTAATAAATGATTGAATCAATTGAATCGTGTATTTTTGTTATTCTGATGCTATGAAACACTCAGCGCAGTGGTATTTTTATTTTTAGACCATCTTGTATAACGTTGTGTAATGATAAATGATTTCATGGTTTGAATGTGCTCATCATCTGTAAACTTAATTGCTTGAAGATGGACAGGGACGTTGTAGAAAGTTGAGTTCCGTGTGCTGAAATGGCCTGAGAGGAATTTCTCTACAAAAAAAAATGGAAAAAAAATCTGGGGACAACCACCCTATTTGTATTTTTTTTTGAATTGATAAAATAGACTATTATTGTCTTGACTCTGAGTGATGTCGTTGTGTGAGTAAAAGACACGAAGTTCGCTGTCATGTTTTTGTTTAAAAACTTGTTTTTATTTAAATGTGTACTACATAGATCTAAAAATAGGGGGCTTTTTTGTTTTTGTGATTTTCTCAAAATTAAAAATTAGTTTGAGAACCATGTTTTGTTGGTCCTGCCCCCATATGTAATGTTATGCAATTTTTTTTTAAAAAAAATTTATTTTATGCCTACGCTTAATAATATTAGTTGGGCATCAATTGATGCTGTAGATTCTATAACTTGGTGGAAAAGTCAATTCCAATATTCAGCTCCTGAATTAACAAAGATTGCTTTATGTATTTTAAGAATTCCTTCATCTTCTGCTGCTTCTGAGTGCAATTGGTCAGCCTTTTCATATATTCATGACAAAAAACACAATCATTTAACCTCACAACAAGTGTTTAAGTTGGTTTATATTTATAATAATTATAAATTACAGTAGGCACAAAAATTTTGTAGTATTGATATATATGAGGATAAAAATGAAGATAATGAATTGGAAGTGAAAGGGTATTTAAATGATAAGATTAGGGAAGGTGATGAAGAAAGTGATAATGGATCAAATGAGTCAGATACCACAATTGAATTATATGAGTTAAAGTAATTTTTTTATTTAGTTATACTTTTAAAATAAATTGGTTATAGAAAAGATCATCATGCGCATTATGCAAATTAATGTTTGAAAAGTATCATAATGCCAATCTTTAGTAGTGCCAGAATAATGTTCACAGGTTTGGTCTTTGAATCCAATATTTCTTAATTAAGCCTTCCTTTCTTTTTTAAAGCTTTTAATGGGTATTTATTTATGATATTTGGTTAAAGTGGGATTTTTAGATAAACCACAAAAGTGAACATTTGTATTACCAAGAATTTCAGGGGTCAAAATTTAGTAACGTGATTATTATTACAGTCAGACCTCTATAAATGCACCCAGGACTGAAGGACAGCATGTATTTATGGAGGGTGTATATATATAGCATAATTAAAAATCTATTTTTGTATATTATTTGTTGATCAAGCTTATTAAAAACAATAGAGATGATCAACAATTTATATGTGAAGAGTATTGTAAAAATCGAAAAAGTATCCACTTAGAAAAATGGTATACCACCATTTACTTACATCATCTCAAATTTTGTATGATGATACTAATAATATAGTTCTTTTCTGAGCAGAAAATAGTTTTCCTGAGCGGAACTTAGTTTGGACTTTTAATAGTTGAAAAGATTGCTTTAAATTTTGCACAAAACAATGCAAATGATCTAATTTATTATTTATACACCTACTAAAAGCCTTTGCAGAGAATAATCAAGTATTTCGTGACCTCACAAACATTCACAGACTTCTAATTCATAATATACTTCAACTTTAATTTAATTTGATTCGAAAAAATAATTAATAAATTAATAAAAATATTTGTCTAATTTTTATTGGATTATCAATTACGTGAAACAAAAATATTGATCAACCAATCACAAGATTTTAATTATGCAAGCATAGATAAAATCCGATCATTAGCTATTATCGTATCACGAAAATCAAGTGAAATTAACCAATGAAAATCATGCACGCAACTTTCAATTTTTATATTTTTATTAAATTTATTTTGTCTTTCTTTCACCGAAATCCAATTATATTGATATACTTAACAACATATAATATAGAGTTTGTATAATATATATCTTGATTACCACTATACAAGGACCAAAATTTTTTCAGCTTACACCTTTTCATTTTATTAATGATAAATGATAGTTAGAAATGTTATTTATTTATTATTGCTTGAATTATCTATATATTGGTTTTATTTTATGTTACGCATTAAGTTAAAATGTAGATCATCACAAATTTGGAAGTTATGACAAATTTAGAGCAACCTTGTTATTAATAAAAATCAAAATTCAAATCCACTCAGGAAAGAACAAAAATAGCAGAACATTTCTGCAAATTTTTGAGGTGGTGTTATATAGTCTGTGCAGCACCATTTTTCTAAGTGGTACTTTTTTGATTTTACAATACTCTTCACATATAAATTGCTGATCTTTTTTTGGAAAATATATGTTCAATAATTCTTAAGTTGGACAGATACTTAAAGAGTTATATATAGGTGATAATTATGATAGTAATAAAGATCATGATATTGATTACCTAATATATGTATTATATTCAATGTAAGTAATCTTTTTCATTAGTTCCTGTGATTTATAGTTTGTACAAGGGTTGCTGTAAGTTGACTAAAAACTACTTTTAAAGTGTACATGAAATTGAAAGTGGAAAATTACTTGGTGATAATCTTGAAGCAGGGTTGGCAAATTGATGGTCCATTGGGTCCATTAATGTAACATTTTAATCATATTTAGTATTTTATTAATGGCAATGGACCAGTCCAAAATCCATCTGTTCTCAATGGACCAGTCAATTTGCCAACCCTGTCTTGAAGCATGGTACAATTATCACTTATGGAATGCAATATTTGATCAAGCTTTTAATGATGTTAGAGTTGTTTCAGTAGTAAGGTGTTTTATATTTTATGTTATTTTTGTTTTTTAATATGGCTTGATTTGATAAATCTAGTGATTTTTTAACAATAAAGAGGTGAAAGCACCAGTTTAGTTACATCTCCTAGACAAAATAAAAACAAAGAATTGGGAATGAGTTGTAAAATGGGTGCTAGAGGGATTGGATCTTAAGATCAGTTGGAAAAGATGACAGACAGTATCGAATTTGGAGCTGGAGAAGCAGCAAAAAAATGGGAAGATGAAAAAGGAGCAAAATTTTTAGAAGAAATAGGAATAAAGCTACCAAAAACTCTAAAAGATATGCTCATAATTTTGATGAATAAAGCTGAAAGGAAATGTAAGAAAATTCAAACTTTAGGAATGATTAATGCAGGTTATGTCTTTTCTTGTACCTGATTTTAATTTTTGTGAGAATTCATTGTATTAATATTTCTTACCTTCCAAAATGGGATTACTATTAGTTACACACATGATCATCAAAGCATAATGCAGTAAGTAACAATGTAACAATATATTAATAATTTTATTATATACTGTATATAACATTATTGATATTCTTTCTTCAAAAATGGGTTCATAGTTAAACAATGTATTATTTTCACATAACAATTAAAGAAAAAAATTAGTTATTACTTTATTATTATTATTATCATTATTATTGCTATTTGTAAAATTTATTTGTATTTAAAAAAATAAATAAAATGTCTATTTAATTAAATAAACAATATATTTTCTATATATTAATTTTAAGAATAAATCAAGTAAAATCAAGTATAGTTTAAGTATAATTTAAGTATAGTTCAAGTATGAAATAAATAAGCTATGTAGAAAATAAATGGAAAATAAGTAGAAAATCATGCTTATTTTCTACTTAAATTTGCAAGAAATGAGAATGTTTTAAGTGTCTCTCTATAATAGTCAAAATGTGCTTAATTACAATTGAAATATGTTTAAAACATACTTATTTCATGCTCAAAACACTAATTAATTTCTACTTAAATTAAGTGTGTTTTAGTGGTATAATAAGTATATTTTAAGCATGCAAACTTTGCATAGGGTAACTTGGCTTTCAATATCTTATTGATGATAATCCAATGATAATAAAAAAGGCAGTCGCAATATTACTGATAAAAATAAGATTTACATTTTTCCTGATTACAAATATAATCATGTTAAAACTACTATCTCTGACTTAAAAGATGAAGATTTTGCCAAAGCTGTTGATGAATGTAAAAACAATATTTCAAAGAATAAAGAAAATTATGATGATAAATCTATTGAGTGATGAATATCAGGTATAACTTTTTTAGTTTTATAATTGCTATGATTTATGTTGTTAAAAGGGCTAAAAAGAAAAAATAAATCAATATTGTAATAATAGGATTATTTTCCCTTTAAGATTTCAACCTTTGTTGAGTAGTAATGTACCTTCATGCTGTTTTCTTTTTCTAACATTTATTATTTTTCTTTCTTCTTGGTAAATTTCATAAGTGACCTTTTCTTTTTTCACAAAATTCAATGGCTTTATTTTTTTAGCAATCGTTTCTAAATTTGTCTGGAAATAAAATTTGTGTTTCTGATCAGCCAATAAAAGTTAGTTTTGATCGTGTAACAGACTGCTTTTTTTACTAGGACGCGTAATCAATTCACATTCAATAAAACGCGTTTTGCAAAGTATTTTCATTATTAAAAGAAAAATATATAAAACATGGATAAAAGAATTATTGAATGTTCATCAAAAAAAGAATTTGACCAACTTGGGAAATATCTTGATGAGGTTGACATTAATGAGGTAATGATACACACACATAATATATATTATATTTAATATTTCTTTCTAATGAAAATTTTACAGATATTGAACTTAGTAAACACTCTGCTAAATGACGAGTCAAAGTTTTGCAAAAATGATGAATATGGATGTTTATCAATTATTGCTGCTATTTTTAAATGTATTTATTGTTAAATTTTTTTTTGCCAACTAGAAATTCAAGAAATAATCTAATTCTATGCTTGACTAAATTTAATTACAAAGCATCAGTTATTGATGATTATTTAGAAAACTATGAATTACAAGAATTGAGAAATAAAAGACATTGATTGAAAATAAAAAAGTAATTGAGGAAATTTCCCTCTGTATAAATTGAAATTCATTCCACCTATTAAAGAAAACAATAGTTATTTTCCTTTTAAAGATTTTTGCTTTTTGTTGGGTAATAGTACACTTTCACTCAGTTTTCTTTTTCTAACATTTATTATTTTTCTTTCTTCTTGGTAAATTTCATAAGTGACCTTTTCTTTTTTCACAAAATTCAATGGCTTTATTTTTTTAGCAATCGTTTCTAAATTTGTCTGGAAATAAAATTTGTGTTTCTGATCAGCCAATAAAAGTTAGTTTTGATCGTGTAACAGACTGCTTTTTTTACTAGGACGCGTAATCAATTCACATTCAATAAAACGCGTTTTGCAAAGTATTTTCATTATTAAAAGAAAAATATATAAAACATGGATAAAAGAATTATTGAATGTTCATCAAAAAAAGAATTTGACCAACTTGGGAAATATCTTGATGAGGTTGACATTAATGAGGTAATGATACACACACATAATATATATTATATTTAATATTTCTTTCTAATGAAAATTTTACAGATATTGAACTTAGTAAACACTCTGCTAAATGACGAGTCAAAGTTTTGCAAAAATGATGAATATGGATGTTTATCAATTATTGCTGCTATTTTTAAATGTATTTATTGTTAAATTTTTTTTTTGCCAACTAGAAATTCAAGAAATAATCTAATTCTATGCTTGACTAAATTTAATTACAAAGCATCAGTTATTGATGATTATTTAGAAAACTATGAATTACAAGAATTGAGAAATAAAAGACATGCTATAATTATCAAAGAAATTATTAAATGGTAATAATTATTTCATTGATATCCAATAAAAATAATTTTTCTAATGTTATTAATTAAAAAAAATTTATAGGTTATCAGGAAAAAATGATGAAAATTCTCCATTGTTAGAAAGTACATTAAATGATTTGGTGTCAATATGCATTAAAGAGGTTTATAATTAATAAGTTTATTATTTATTTTACTTTATATTTTGTGTTTCCTCTATTAATTTACTAATAATCTTATTAAAAAAGATATCACTTAGTTCGCTGGATTCTCCAATCACAGTACAAATATTTGTAGAGTGCATCAATTGTATAATTCAAGCTATAGGGAGTTGTAGACCATTATACAAAAAATTTTTTTCATTTTTGCCAAATTTGATGTACATTCTGGAACCTTGGACCGAAATGTTGATTCTTCCATCTGGCGAATCAATGACAATTCAGGATTATAAATATTATCTAATAAGTAAAATGTGTTGTTCTAGATGGAATACAAAAAATGTTCTAAGCCTAACTGGTGAATTGAGGGATATTCAAATGTCAGATAATGACGAAAACCTTAAATAATAACTTATGATAACAATAAAATAATTTATTTAATAAAATCTTTCTTTATATATATAAAAGTTGGAATTGGTGATCAACAAAATTTTGAGGTATGTTTTTTTGTTAAATTATTATTAATTTTATTTATATTTTAATAATTTTATTTATTTTAATTTTGTAGACAATTTGATTCAACAGAAATCAATGAACTTCCACTATTAATTTTTCAATTACTTTTACTATCAAGAAAGGTCAATAAATTGATATTTATGCATTTCATAAATTTTTTTAAAAAATTTTTCCTAATAATTAAAATTTCATTATTAGGGACATAAAAATCTTGTATTAAAAGGTATATCTGAATACTTTAGTGCTTTAGATGAGGAAATTAAGGAGTCTCATAATCAAAAGTTGGTTGTTTTTTAATTTTGGTTACATATGTTATGTAGAAATATTTAATACAATACTTTTGTTATATGTGACAGTGATGAAAAACAAAATAATTCTATGGATTCCATATCATATACACAACTTAACATTATGGAAGGAACTATTATTATTCATATCAATTTTGCTATAACACAAGACCAAGTATTACATAGTAAAATAATAATCATTAAAAAAAATTTATAGGTTATCAGGAAAAAATGATGAAAATTCTCCATTGTTAGAAAGTACATTAAATGATTTGGTGTCAATATGCATTAAAGAGGTTTATAATTAATAAGTTTATTATTTATTTTACTTTATATTTTGTGTTTCCTCTATTAATTTACTAATAATCTTATTAAAAAAGATATCACTTAGTTCGCTGGATTCTCCAATCACAGTACAAATATTTGTAGAGTGCATCAATTGTATAATTCAAGCTATAGGGAGTTGTAGACCATTATACAAAAAATTTTTTTCATTTTTGCCAAATTTGATGTACATTCTGGAACCTTGGACCGAAATGTTGATTCTTCCATCTGGCGAATCAATGACAATTCAGGATTATAAATATTATCTAATAAGTAAAATGTGTTGTTCTAGATGGAATACAAAAAATGTTCTAAGCCTAACTGGTGAATTGAGGGATATTCAAATGTCAGATAATGAGGTAAACCTTAAATAATAAGTTATGATAACAATCAAATAATTTATTTAATAAAATCTTTCTTTATATATATAAAAGTTGGAATTGGTGATCAACAAAATTTTGAGGTATGTTTTTTTGTTAAATTATTATTAATTTTATTTATATTTTAATAATTTTATTTATTTTAATTTTGTAGACAATTTGATTCAACAGAAATCAATGAACTTCCACTATTAATTTTTCAATTACTTTTACTATCAAGAAAGGTCAATAAATTGATATTTATGCATTTCATAAATTTTTTTAAAAAATTTTTCCTAATAATTAAAATTTCATTATTAGGGACATAAAAATCTTGTATTAAAAGGTATATCTGAATACTTTAGTGCTTTAGATGAGGAAATTAAGGAGTCTCATAATCAAAAGTTGGTTGTTTTTTAATTTTGGTTACATATGTTATGTAGAAATATTTAATACAATACTTTTGTTATATGTGACAGTGATGAAAAACAAAATAATTCTATGGATTCCATATCATATACACAACTTAACATTATGGAAGGAACTATTATTATTCATATCAATTTTGCTATAACACAAGACCAAGTATTACATAGTAAAATAATAATCATGTTTAAACTAAAATAATAATAATAATAATAATAATATTTATTATCATGCAGGAATTAGGAAATGAATTTCTTAGATACATGAAATCTGGTAAAGCATCACTTTTGACTCCATTCAATCTTTGCTGTTTATTATCAATGGCAAGAATCCATAGATTCCAGGATTTAGTAAGTAAACCAATTAAATAAATACCACAAAAAAAAACCAACCTTTTTAATTTTTTTAATAATTTTACAAGGTTTTCAATTATCTAAAGTCATCTATAATGGCTGTTTATAAAGACAAAGAAAAACTCGAAAGTGCAAAATGGATCTCAAGTAACTATAATAATAATAACAACCATGTTTATTTCTTGATGTTGGATGGATATCTCTACAATAAAAGTCTTTTCATTTTTATTTTAGAGTTAGATATATCGCAAATAGTTAGTTTAATACCACTAGATGATCTTTTTAAAAAGGTATTGAAAAAAACATCCTTTGGTTACGATAATGTAATTCAAAGTTTAGTACAGCTAGGAACTTTTATCATGGACTCTACTATTTCATCAGCTTCTTGTGTAAAGATTACTGGTAATCAAACTAATTCAATTAATTAACTAAACAATTAAATCAATTTTGTTAAATATTTGGATTAATTTCTAAATATTTATCTTTCAAAGAGAAAAAAATTGGATCAAAAACACCAAATGAAGCTGCTAGTGATTTGGGTGTAATCATATTATTAGAAATGTTCAAGGTTAGGATTATCAAAAATGTAACCTTGACTCTTTAACAGCTTGCAAAATATAATCAAAATTATATTATATATATATTTCATTATAGATGCATGAGATGGTTCGTGTTGAAATTTTGGATCAAATACAGTCTCGTGTTGTATCAAGGTCACCTAGTGTTGGTCATTTTTTGACTTTATTAGAAATAATTGTAAAAGAAAAACCTGATTCTTTAAATGATTATATACAAAGAGTCAGTAGAAAAAAATACTTAATTAATTGTTATTGTTTAAAAATAAGATTTTTTAATATATTTTTTATTATATATAGATTAAAGGAACTCTTGATCACTTTTCACTTCTTCCATCTTATATTGCAGATCATCTTTTACGTGCATTACAGCCAATAATTTATAGAAACATTTCAATTCGTGATGGACTTATGTTGGTTTTGAGAAAATGTTTATTTACAAAGTAATTAATTAATTAGACCGTACCTGTTTAAATTTTTTTTTTCTGACTTTATATAATAATGTTTTGATATTTGTAATAATGATGTTCTTATAATAGAGATATAGAGGCCAGAAAAGTTGCCTTGACAGGATATTTAAGATTATTGAAAATTTTTTCAAATGGCAATAATTATAATAATGATAATGATGACAACGTTTTGGCAATTTCACAATCCTCTTCAAACTCCTCTTCAAATTCAACTAACTCGCTGATTTTAGAAATAATGGGTAGGTTATTTAATCGTTTAAATAATTTGATTGATTGATTTCTTATACTTATTTTAAAATATCCATGTATTAGGTGTATTACGTAAATGCTACAGTCAACAGTCTCAAATTCGTCTTTCTTTATATGAAGGCTTGAGTAAATTGATGGATGATATTCAAGATCTTAATCCCGTCATATTTGATATATTATATTTTCAAGTATATATTTTAACATGAACTTCCTATTTTCATACAATACTATACATAATGATTAATATTTATAATTTATTTTATATAGTTTCAACGATTTTTGGAAATGCAAACGGATGTTCATTTTACAGTTAATTTAGAAACTTGTATTGAAACCAATAATGGTACACCAAGCATTGTTGAGCCTTTACCACGTTTATTTTCTTGCTTAAGCAAATCAATAACTAGTTATAAAAAAAAACAAAATTCTGGACAAGATGGTTAGTGACTTTTGAAATATTTATTTTAATTTACTTTAATTTAATTAAATAATAATTACAATAAATTTAGAACTATCAGAATTTGATGAATCGCAACTTTCAGAATGTGTAAATAAGTTGGATTTATTGGCCGAAAAATTTGCTTATTCAGAAATGATTGAATTTAGAATTAACGAGGATGCTGATTATAAAATGGTAACTAATGTGGGCATCCAAAATAACATGTGTGCTTCTTTATTACTTGGATGTTATGAGGTAATAATATAACAAAGAACTTAATAATTAGTATCTTTATGACCAAATAATATTACTATTGAATGCATTATCTTGTTTCAATAATTATATTAAGATTGATTTTATTTCTTATATATTTTCAGGCATCAATTGAATATATTTTTTTTTCACGTGAAAAAAATAATGATACTTCAAATTTGATATTAAAATTATTTAATAAATATTTGGAACTTTTTATGATCCTAAAAGAAAAATCTGTAAATGCTAGAGGTATATATATTTGAAATAAATTATTGTTGACCGGTCGATTGATGAATTAATAAGCTAATCAATTATTAGGTCGAAAAACTGTAGCCTCAGTCACGGAATATTCTATTCTAAGTTTCAAATGTATTGTCGAACTCTTTCAACTCACATTTAATACTTTCGATTGCCAAATCTCTAATAATGCTGGAACAATTTTAAGATCAAATTCAGATTTTGTAAACTATATAACTGCTTTAGCACATAATAAAATATCTCAGGTAATTACAACAATAATTATTATCATCATTATTGAAAAATTCTTGAATTTAATAATAACAAGTTTTTTTTTTAAATAAAAGATTACAACAAATTTTGATCCAGGAGATCAATCAACATTAAAATATTGCATATCATTGGCTCAAGTGTTCATGAATGAATTTATTAAAAAAAACAAAGCAAACATCAATTGTTTACAAATTGATAATAAAGTAAAAAAATTTTTAATGATTTTTAATTCATTATTTATAAGAATTAACAAAACTTATGTATATGCATATAATAAATCCATATTTAGAATCAATCTATACTTGCAACAGCAATTGAAAGTTTTATGTTATTATGTAAAGTAATATTGAAGTGTTGGCCGGATAAACTGATGGATTTCTTGGAAATGTCTTACCCATCAGATGAAAAAAAACTTAGTAATCTGGATGATTGGTTGGATTTATATATTAAAGAGTTTGAAGTAAAAATAAATATATAACTTCAAATATTTTTAAATAATTAATAATAATAACATAAAATTAATTAATTTTTAAAAAATTAAATAAATAGTTTTTAGTAATCACATCATTAAGTGAACAAATACCACGAATTAAAGAAGCATCAGAATTATGCCAAATAATAACATTATTATCATCATATTTCACGTTTAACTCCAATGATAACCAATCTAAAGGACACCAAGAATTGATCATATGGCTTAGAATGTTATGTAAAGAGCATGCAATTGATAATGTTGCTCTGACAAAAATAATTGTTAGTATGTTGATCAAACTGGAAAAAGAAATGTCAGATTTTGATATAGTGTCAGAGTTTGGACGTGATATATTATCTGTTCTGGGAGGTTGTGATGTTTATTCAGAGTCAGATGAATCACAAATGCCGAAATTTGCCATTGTTAATTCAAGAACCAGTAATATTGTTTGCGTTATATTACTTGAGTTTATAGAGCAAACCTATGATGAAATCGAATGGCTATTAATCAGAATGAAATTAATCAATAGTAAAAAAGGTAATTATAATTTATATTATAATTGTTGAATAAATATTAAATAATTATTAAAATTGATATTTTTTCAAGGATATAATGATGATGAAGAACCAATTGATCTTAAAGAATTTGAAAATTCAATTTGTAAAAAATTGGTCATCCTGATTAATACTTTGATACATCTTGAACAAACCTCACTTCAATCAGCCCCATCTGAAGCATTAATTAAATGTTTACAAAAAACATACAAAGTTTTGCAATCTTTAATTAAATATGTAAAATGATCAAAATTTTATTTGTTTATTTTTATTATTACTTAAAATTAATTATTTGAAAAAAATTGATTTTTTTTAGAAAATTGCAGAAGCAGGAGAGATAAGTAAACAATTCATTGATGTTGTTGAAAAGACTGGTCTACATTTAACAGAACATTTGTATAGTTTTATTATGTCGTTTGGGCAAACAAATGAAGCAGTCGATCGTCTAAATAGAAAAGGAAGTTCAAAATCCAAATCAACAAGTCAAAAGGTTTATAAATATATTATTTATTTATAATAACAATAATAATATTATATATAATTGCTCTATTTTAAACATTAGGCTCGAATTGCAAGAGAATCTAAAATGGTGCCTAAATTGATTTTCATGATAGAACAATTTGAGCGTTATTTAATACAATTGTCAAAAAAATCAAAAGTAATGATGGTGATGATATTATTTTATTATTTAATACGTTAAAATAACATTATATTTATACTTAATTAACTAGAAGGCAAACTTAATCCAATATATTAAACGATCAACTGCTCGAGATTTTAGAATTGAAACAAAAAAGATTGATGAACTTGAAAATAAAATTGATGATGATGACAATAATAAAAAGAAAAAACCAAACACAAAAAAGGTAATAATGCTTGTCAACGTTTATATAACATATATTGATATATTGATATGATTTATTAAATCTAATATTTTTTAATACAGAAAACCAAAAAGAATAATCAAGACAAAAATGAAGATACCGTAATGAATGGTGGTGAAAACGGAGAGGTTGTAGAAAATGCACAAAATGGAGAGGCAGAAGATGTGAATATGGTTTGTATATTAATATCAAGTTTAAGATTTTGTTTCATAGAGTGTTATTCTTCACTGAGAATACATTTAATCTTAATTCAAGGAGGAGAATGGTGATGATGACAATGAAGAAAAAGAAGATGAGGATGAAAATGCTTCTATACATGAAGAAGATTCGGATCAAAACAACATTGATCTTAAAAAAACAATAAAGAAAAGAAAAATTGCACACTAAATAGTAATAATCAAGACAATATTTCTCTTGATCTTTTAGAATTGAAAAATTTGTTATTAATAATTAAAACGAGAAAATATCTACAAGTGTATATAAATTAAATAATACATCAAATATCAACAACGATTAAAGCTGATATTCATTACTAACTTTTCTAATTTTTAATGAAAGTGTTTAATTCTAGTAACTGGTTACCAGACTTTGCTAATCAATTCTCTTGGGATTTCATCATCAAAAAAAGTTTACATGTTCCATCATCTTTACAAAATGACAATTATCAATTCCACCGCCTAATTTTTTGGGATGATCTGTCAATACACCATAAGTCTGTTATTTGCTATAATCAATAGCTGTGACAAAATCAACTCGTCCATATATTTGTGAATCCACATAAAAAACCTACATGATGTCCTACATTTGGACCATCAATTAACCAGTTTATGACAATGAAAAATAAATATATTTAGACTTGAATAATCGGTTTCTGATCTTGTGCTATGATCTGTCAATTAAGTTTTGGATCTGGTTTATTTTACTAATTCAGATTTTAAATCATGTAATATTAATATGCTAATCCACTCACAAATTATTTTGTCAAACTGGACCATGATTATGGAAATTGAACTTCAAAATCGGCAAGGAAACTTTTAAAGGATAAAGGGCATGCAGTTATGAAATCATATATGTATTTTCCTGAATTTATTCATCTGCCAAAAGTACCAAATTAAAAATTGCTTTGTTTAAAATTTATTCGTTATTCGAAAAGTTTTTTATAATAATACATTTTTAAAAATACATTAAAAATACATTAGTAATAATTTTTTAATAATTATATTTATGCTTAATTTCCATTATTAACAACTCTTCTTCTAATCAAACGTTTTTTTCTATTGACAATTATTCTTTTGGGATTTTCTTCATTATTTTGAGATTTTTCTCTATTATTGATATTCTTATCATCAACAAATATGACTGTTATAAACCATCCTAAGATGAATCCAATCTCCCAAAAGTTTTTTGACAAGATGCTCCACAATACATCAATTATAAAAAAAAAGACCATCAATGGTGCAGTGACACAGATCCATCCTAATAAACCTGTTTCTGCCTCGTTATTGGTCAAATTCATTTTTTTATTGTTTTTTCGTAAAGATTTATTTATTTGCTGATAATAAGTCTCATCCAAATAACTGGTATTTCTTAACCAATTAATGTTTAACTTAATTAAATCTTCAGAAATCGGAGGACATTTTTGTAAACCTAATGATTTGGATTTTGTGTTTGTTATATCTAGTTTTGGTTGAATTCGTTTGTTTAAATCATGACTATTGTTGCTTTTAGTAGGATTGTTATTACTATCAATAGCATTATCATCACCATGTTGAAATTGTTTGATTCTTTTAAAATGTTCAAATAACATTAAATCACTTTTATTTTCATAATGTTCTAAATTTACATTTTCCAAATCCACAACAAGTTGCTTTAGCCAATCATTCAACTCTTGTCTTTCAAATTTCATTTCAACATACTCTTCCAAAACATCAAGATAATCTTTCCATGTCATTAATGTATCAGGATTTCTTAAATGATTAATTTCAACTCTAAACGTATTATGATGCATCATTGTTATCAATTCTACTATAGATTTTGATGCAATATTGACAGGCACCCAATCTATATCCAGTTCAAATACAGGCATACGACCAGTCCTTCCTACATTTGATAACAGTAAGGGTACAAAGTCATCGGGATTCCATGCACCAGTGACGGTAGAGCTGGTTAAAGTAGATAATCTGATTATATTTAATTTTTCTAATTGTAGATAATCAAATGTATTTATTATGATTGATTCAATTGCTAATTTACTTAATCCATATCCATCTTGTGTTGTTATGCTGGATTTAATAGGAAATATACCTTCAGGTATTATTTCCCATGGTCCATTTATGCAAGAATCGATATTGGAAATATAAAAAAACTCTTTTTTTGCACTAAATAATAATAAATTTGAAGTAGGTAAAACATGACAATTCTCATAACTAGGTAGTGTTGTGTCACCTGTGGATATACTAATGGATCTTAAACTTGTTATTAAAGAAGTACTATGTATAACAGTGGTCACTTTTTTTGATAAAGATTCATATTGTTGTATTGATAACCCTAAATATGATTCGGATAGATTTGCTGGTAAAACTATCAAATTATTTTTTGAATCTATCAATGAAATATCCAAGCCATTAAGTAGAAAAGCGTGTTTTAATGATGCCTTTGGACTATGTGCTTTTTTTTTACGTTTGATCAAACAATAAATCGCTGAATCCTTTGTAGCATTATTTGATCCTCGATCCAATACCTAAAAAACTTGTTGCACCAGTTAATAAATAAATTCGTTTTTTTATTGTTGATGATTTTAAATTTGGTCGAGTAGTTTCAATTGATTGTTGATAATTTTCTTTTATATATAATGTGTATTTATCAACCAAACCCTCTAAATCATGTTGTTGTTGATTTAAATCATTTGCATCATTTTTCTTCCTGTCATCCCTATCCCCTTCAATAGTATTTTTTAATGATTTTCTATTATTTAAAGCACCATTTATAACTTTTGTAATTAAATCAATTGAATTATGTTCTTGAATAAAATTTAAATTGTTTATTTTTGTAAATGTTGGTAAAATATTATTAATTTTCCTAAGAAATAAATTACATTGGAGTTCATTCATTCCAATATTAAATAAAGATTCTTCGTGATCACCTTTATGTACTATATCATTTTCTTTTTCAATTTGAACTTGGTTATTATCATTGTCATTATTATCATTATTTTCAGAAGAAATA